AAAAAAAAAATTACAATAAGCCCAATAAATGTAACATCAAGTCCTTAGATCACAAAATGAACAACTTTAATATTACAACAAACCCTATGTGAATGTCATATGTCTTTGTTTCCTTTTTTCATTACTTCATACTTTTGCCTTTAATACTTTTACTAATTGTGCTTTGAAATGCTTTTGGTATGTTGCAAAGGCTATCCTCAATTTCATACATGAACATTAACTATTGTCACCATGAAAATTAAACTGTAGACCTTAACAACTCAACTACAATGAGGAATTCATTCCTTAAATTGCAAATATCAATCTAATAAAATGTACTTATATAATAAAATATGTATAACTAAATGCTTAACAATTTTGTAATAAACCATAACCATTAAAATCAATAACAATAACCTGATGCACTTTTCATCAAGGTGTTACCTCTTCGAAAAAAGGCAGATAATACTGTTCATGCTCTTGTACAAAAATAAACTGAGACTTTGGATCATTTGTGAAAAACCCTCACCAAAAAGCTATGCTTCCAAAAATATCTTCTATCTTCTATAGTTACCTACTATGTACTTCTTAACGCTCTTTGATAACTAGGCTCTTAGAAAAAGTTGGATAAAGAAAACAAACACGAAATGGTACCTCTTCTGTTGCTATGGTTACTGCATGGCTACAACCATACATGATCAACTATTAGGGGCCAAACATTTAACATTGGAACGTGGCCAGACCATTTACAGGATAAAACCCCTTCAAGCTGTTTTGCGGTCAAACAACCACAACAACAACATAACAATAACAAAAAATACACCCCCCCCCCCTCCAATAAGCATAAGGAAAGTGCAATCTTGATGGTACACGGAGAAAATCTTGAATGTTATGGGCTTGGGAAAGAAACTATTTCTCCACTTAAATACGCGGCACTTGATTAAGCCTACTTCAAAATGCAGCATTCTAGTCATACAGAGTATACTGGTTCAGTCACTCAAATGGAGTTAATTTCAACAGATTGCAGTAGTCATTGCACTTATGGCTTGCAGTGAAGTTCTGTATGGCATTGTGGGAAAGATTACCTGTACAAAACAGCATGTTCTTGGGATCTAGCTGCTTGCTGGCAATCTCTGGGTCGAAAAGGCAACTTCCACAGCCTTGTATATCCAGCAACATGACCTCTTTCTGTGACCGTTCATAAGAGAAGTGAGCTAGACACTCTGCCTTCTTGGTCAAGGGATCAGCATTTTCGCCTTGGCATATGTTCCCATTGTTGTTGATATATTTGTGGAATGTCCCGTCTATAAACTCTTCCACCGTTACATATTCCCCGTCAATTGTTCCCATGTATATCTTCTTGTAACTCATGGTCTCCCCAAAAAGGATTTCATTATCGCTTGCTATAAGCTCTTCTTTCAGTTTAGCTGCGAAATTCCGTGCTAGGTAGTGCATTTGCACTACCTTCTTTGTATGTTCTTCCAGTGTCTGTCCAATGGCAATGATATCTTCCGAAGCCTTTTCTAGATATCTCTTCACCACCCACGTAGAGCCTTGGAATCCTCTGTCATTAGAAGTCGCTTTAAAGGCCTTCCGAAATCCACCTGTTCCAAATGGCTGGGATTCAATAGAAAACTCCACGGCAGTTGGTCTTCCGGTCCACGCCATTACCGACATGTCAAAATTGAACATCTCAACAGAGGTTGTGGTATTTGGGATGAGCTTTCCCAATCCTAGCATGTCAACCACGGACAGGCTCCGCGGAACAAACTTGCTAGGGCTTTGTGATGACACCCGTTGTGGTAGCGATGCCACAGCAACCGCTGCCTTCCCATGTTCAGCATTATCACCCTCGGAAATGTCGTCGATCTTTCTCTTCCGCCGCTCACAGAGAACTTCAACCGGAGCGTCTTGGACTTTACCCTCAATGAATCGCACGTGGATTACTTTCAAGTTTGGTAACTGTTTTAGCGAGTAACAAGATGGCCCTTGCTCCCCTGCGAGTACATCGCATGACATCGTTTCCAACATACCGAAGTGCTTCATGCAAGCTCTCTTGATGTTGCTGATGGAGATTTCGTCGAAGTCTTCGAAGGACACGAACTCGCGCGCACCAACTCGAGAGTATTTCTGTGCTTTTCCCGAAACCTCTGCGCTAAGGCGCTGTACAACTAAGGTCTCAAGCTCTTTGGCTGCCTTACTAGAATCCTTCTTGGCTCTCTTCCCTTGGCGCAGCTCCTTCATTTTATCTTTAAACTTACTCCAAGTTTGACCTCCAGCAGCCATTCTTGAAAACAGATGCACCGAAATGCATTCTGGTCTATGGCAACGATAGGCCACACGCCTTTTTTTTTTTGCTATGGCAACGATAGGCCATGGACAATTTTGCTTTTAATTTAGTTTACAATGCCTTTCTTTTCAAATACATTTTTTTAAAATTAGTTTCACTTTTTTTTGAAACATAAAATTTTGTTTTCGTTCGAAATAAATTCATTTTAAAATCATTTCGTTTTTATTCTGTTCTTGAGATATTTTCTTTTCATTGAAAATAATTTCTGAATTAATTTACTTTTTATTTTAAGTTAAAATATTTCTGTGATTAAACAAAAAAAAAAAACAAACTAACATTAAACTAAAAATAAACCAATACACCCAAAAAAGCAAACAAAACATAAATTTACAAGAAACTTGTTAAGAAATTGGGTTTTTTGTTATGGCAGTCTTAGGCCACCATAGATGATGTTGCCTATCTCATATGAAGTTTTGATAATGTGAATGTTTTAAATTATCAACGTTAGGCTTTGAATGCATTATTCCGCTGCTGTTATTCCTGAAAGTGTAAGTTATGGGTGAGGTCTCTCTTCCTCAGCAAGGCCGCTTTTAAAAATGTGTGAGCTTTATAGGTCATTAAAGAAAAATCTCACTTTTTTAAACAAGCATAAAATTAGCTGTGAGACTAACAACAGCATTTAGTTTCAATTCAAAAGAAAGGGTTTTTTTGGAGTGAATTTTATTAATATTCTCTTTGTTTTTGTTTTCACACAGCAATGTTATGTATTGGACTGAACAGCACAATATTATACTGTGCAGAGAAGTAGTGTTTGAAAATCCCTACTTAGACAAAAAGGGGTCTCCCCAGCGCAGTGAAACTTGGAAGAAAATTGTAGACGTTCTAAACAAATGTGCTTCTCCGCAATTTAATGTTGACCACAGAGCCATCCGGGGCCACATCAATTTCTTGGTAAACAAGTACAAGAAAAAAAAGAGCTGAAGAAAGAGCATTAGGAATATCCCCAGATGAGCTAATACAGCAAATTATTGCAGTTGAAGAGAGTACTCCTACAGATACATGTAGTAAGGATAAAGCTGACAAAGCTAAAGCAGAAGATGTAAGAATAAAAGCTATTGAAAGGCTTTCCCAAACCAAAAAAAGGGCGTCAGAGGAAGCCGAGGAGGGTGAGGACAAACCAAACGAACAAGAAGAAAAACTGGAGATGCCATGGAGTTTCTAAAGGAAAGAGCACAGCAGAGTGCAGAAATTAGAGAAAAGGAACTTGAGCTGGAAAAGGGAAGACAGGAACAACAACTTAAAGTGCAACAACAACAGGCTAATATTCTGAAGGTAATGCACCAGCAACAACTGCAAAATCAACAGCAACAGCAGCAGTTTCAGCAACAACAGCAACAGTTCCAGCAGCAACAAATGTGCATGATGCAGCAGGTCATGGGCGTCATGAGTAAAATGCTTAACAAGTAGATGTTAAATTTCTATTTCTAGATGTTTATATGTTTAAGATTTACATTTTTACAAAATGTTGAACTCAGAGTATTATTTGCCACCCCTTTGTTTAGATCTGCTTGTTATTACATTCCCTGCAAATAACACACAGCAACTGTTCAATCAGGATTTTATGCAAGATTTTATGTAAACTTAGGCATTGACAGGTTTTTTTTTTACAGTATTTTAGCTACAGTAATCGACTAGTGATGGTGGGTCAAGGCCAAAGTAGTCAGCAGTCGTATTGCGGTAGAAACATGTTAAAGCATTTCCTACGTGGCTAAGGCCAATTTTGAGATTTTTTTTGTAATCGAGAAACTGGAAAAAATTTATAAGGTCTCCAAACAACCATTCCACACTTGTACGTACAGAACTCATAGATGCATTAAACTCTTCCATTTGTCTTGTTAACACCCCATTTCTGAAGGGGCACTGCAGATGGGTACGTAGAGGATATGCCGGATCCCCGTAGATACACATCTCCTGTCCAGCAGGGGAAAAGGCGAACTGTGCCAGGTCAACATAGAGGTCAGATGTGTCCAGCATTCTCCATCATGCATTCGTCCCTCTGAACAAGAGCCAAAAAAATTAATTTTTGAACCAAAATCAGTCACACATTGGCTGGCTGACAAACTGTTACCTATATAGACCATTGATTAGCTTTGTAATTGAGTAGGCCAAAAACAACATAGGATTGGCTGGCTATTATTCTTACAGTTCAGGTACTTATGGGCTATAAGTCAGAATTTATAATTTATTTGTCTGTGGTGACAGGACAACCATTCCTCTTAATAACAATTGGGAGTGGGAGCTACTGAAAATACCTCTGATTTGAGAGACCAGGAGGGAGTCATCAAGAAACGTCAGATTAACCTTATGAGAAAAGAAATCAATCTAACTTTTAAGTTCACATAAGTGGTAAAAAATGTCTCTCCAAGTAAAAACAGCTACGGTACTATCCCACAATAAAAAATGGATGAATATACCCTTACCTACTGGTCCAAACAGATCGCCAATCAATCCATTTGGTAGGGCCAAGGATTGAAATTTAAGGGCGTGAACGCGCTGGTGGCCATTGTAAACAGCACTCTGATTGACTCCTGGTTTTGATATGGGACGAACCGTTCCACCAACAAAGCCGAAACAGTTTTCCGAGGCGGCACCTTTGTCACGAATTGCTTCAGAGTAAGTTTGCAGTAGGTTAGGAGACATAATGAAATGACTATGTACTTGACTCTACTCT